CTGTTGTCCTCATAGCAGCCGCCCGCATATGGCCGAGGCGTTAGGACACGCGGATGAAAAAAAAAAAAAAATAGACCTCCATTGAAAAAACAGGCTGGAAAAGTACCCCACGCTATATGTGGGTGTAGGTGCTGAGCGTGCGTCACACCACTTTTGACTGGTGACAGTGAGATACAAGATGTCAGTGCAGGTAGCTTTGAATCCCGAAATGTGAGGCTAGTTGAAGCATTTTCATCTGGCGCCACAACGGGAATACAAGAAAACAGTTCGGTCCAAAATTGTTAATACATTTTGAGTTGATTTTGAGTGATTTTTGGGACCGGGGTGGATATACTAGAGATGAAAATGACTCAAGACGTTCAAGTATATCAAGCGATGAACAAAAATGTACATATTTACAAAAAATACCTTGTCCTCATCTATGGTCACAAGCTATGGACCGTGACCAAAAGAACGAGATCCCAGATACAAGCGGCCGAAATGAGTTTTCTCCGCTGGGGGTCCGGGCTCTCCCTTAGAGATAAGGTGAGAAGCTCAGTCATCCGGGAGGGGCTCAGAGTCGAGCCGCTTCTCTTCCATATTGAGAGGAGCCAGATGAGGTGGCTCGGGCATCTTGAACGCCTCCCTGGTGACGTGTTCCGGGCATGTCCCACCGACAGGAGGCCCCGGGGACGACCCAAGACACGCTGGAGAGACTATGTCACCTAGCTGGCCTGGGAACGCCTTGGGATCCCCCGGGAAGAGCTATAAGAAGTGGCTGGGGAGAGGGAAGTATGGGCTTCCCTGCTAAAGCTGCTGCTCCCGCGACCCGATAGAAGATGGATGGATGGACCCTGTCCAAAATTATTCAAATCCTTTCTTGAATAGCAAACCTGAAAACCAACCATCGAGATGTCCCAAAAAGCTTCGCTGGGCTGCCTCGCTCATATCACCCACCGTGATATTCAGAGGTTGAGACACAGCTCTGTGCTACCTATGTAGCACCAGTCAGCTAGCAACAAGCTTTAGCTGGCGACTGCTGCGGAAAAACATGTCACGGAATCGCTCCAAAGTCAGTATTCATTGCCTCCGTAAAAGTGAATAAGCTACTTTTCATAAAATATCCTTGCGACAAAACCGCTCCTTGAAATGAAGTCACTGGTTCTCAAAACTGTTCGGCAATGGGGAAAAAAAATTACAGACAGCTCAAGATTATACATTCAAGTTTACAGGATGCTTATCACGGTGGCTTGGAGGCAAATGACAGATGGACCCAATCAAGTTAGCAAACAAGCTAACAAGTTTCTACCCAAACAGCTGAAATACAAAGTGACAAAGAAACACGAGCAGCAGACCACCACCAACCGCAGGCGACACGACGCCACATGGGACAATGAACCGAGACACTGAATGAAAACAGGGAATTCAATACAAACAGACAGACGAGACAACGAGGCACACCTGGACAAGACATACTGACAAGAACAGGCGGAGACAAATAGATGAGACACAGGGAAAACACATCAAAACAAAATCATAACATTATTAGCTCATTCAGGACCAGCCGATTCTCGACCAAGTCTGAAAAGACGTTTAAAAACGTCTTTGGGAGTGAATGAGTTAAAAAGGGAAAATTATCACCATGTCAAATCAAAAGCCCAAATATTAACAAAACGCAGATGACACACGCATGACAAGTCAGAGTGGGCAGAAGGGGGACTGCAGGTGGGCACGAGGGCGGCAGTGCAGACTTGCAGAGTTTGTCCTGCACGTTGACCGGATCAAGAGGAGTAAGAGGCTCATAACGTGCTCGGCCAGAGGAGGGTCGGATGGCAGCCGCAGACTGTGCGCCGCCGGAGCAATGGGTGACTGGCGTGGTGACTCCGGCCGCCCAGTCGGAATGTGGTCAGGTGACTGGAGAGACAAAGACAATAATGAGCAGACAGGAAAGATACCAAGAGGAGTCATAAGAAAACAAACCGGGACTCAATCGCAAGATTGAAAGCAAAATGAGCTGGATGTCAAACCACAAATCAAAATATGAACAAAACACAGATCGTGGCATATGCTGGAGGTTAATAGGATCCTTTCTAGTATGTTCTCCAAAATTTGACTGTAAGAACAGGGATAATGATACATGTTCACTTAATTTGGTAGCAAGTTGGATTTGCAATAGAATTACAGCAAGTTAACAATCGATGGCAACGGCTGCAGCCGCTGACCTACAGGCAAACATTTTGGAATCAGAACACCAAAAGAATATTTGTTCCGAAGCCTTTAAGACTAATTATAAAAATGACCTGGACGTTATTTGCAGTATAGATGAGCCAAGGTTTTGATTTCGGATGACTCTCCTGGACAAGACATACTGACAAGAACAGGCGGAGACAAATAGATGAGACACAGGGAAAACACATCAAAACAAAATCATAACATTATTAGCTCATTCAGGACCAGCCGATTCTCGACCAAGTCTGAAAAGACGTTTAAAAACGTCTTTGGGAGTGAATGAGTTAAAAAGGGAAAATTATCACCATGTCAAATCAAAAGCCCAAATATTAACAAAACGCAGATGACACACGCATGACAAGTCAGAGTGGGCAGAAGGGGGACTGCAGGTGGGCACGAGGGCGGCAGTGCAGACTTGCAGAGTTTGTCCTGCACGTTGACCGGATCAAGAGGAGTAAGAGGCTCATAACGTGCTCGGCCAGAGGAGGGTCGGATGGCAGCCGCAGACTGTGCGCCGCCGGAGCAATGGGTGACTGGCGTGGTGACTCCGGCCGCCCAGTCGGAATGTGGTCAGGTGACTGGAGAGACAAAGACAATAATGAGCAGACAGGAAAGATACCAAGAGGAGTCATAAGAAAACAAACCGGGACTCAATCGCAAGATTGAAAGCAAAATGAGCTGGATGTCAAACCACAAATCAAAATATGAACAAAACACAGATCGTGGCATATGCTGGAGGTTAATAGGATCCTTTCTAGTATGTTCTCCAAAATTTGACTGTAAGAACAGGGATAATGATACATGTTCACTTAATTTGGTAGCAAGTTGGATTTGCAATAGAATTACAGCAAGTTAACAATCGATGGCAACGGCTGCAGCCGCTGACCTACAGGCAAACATTTTGGAATCAGAACACCAAAAGAATATTTGTTCCGAAGCCTTTAAGACTAATTATAAAAATGACCTGGACGTTATTTGCAGTATAGATGAGCCAAGGTTTTGATTTCGGATGACTCTTTTTGAACTGCCAGTTTGCGTCCACCCTGACTGAAGGGAACTGGAGCAGGATGTGGTCGCACCTTCTTGGCAGCATAGGAGCCAAGAGCTCCGTATGTTGACGTAAATTTCAGCAGCTTACCGTATTTTATTTATTTATTCTTGTATTTATTTTGCGTAAATGGCTTTGATGTTGACTGTTCGGTTCTTTGCCACCGACTTTTATGTGACTTGGATGCCTTGATTCTTGGAACGCTTGGTGGCTAATAGTTTGTAACCAAGGGTACTTTGGAGTCCAGGCCAGGTGCTCAAGTTCGGGGAAATATTTCTAACGTCAGAAACAAGAAGCCTAATGGGCCATGATGTTCAAAAACCGTGCCCACATCGTCATCTGACTCTTGGTTCTCCTTTGCGATGCGTTTCAGTGGTGCTCGGTTTCTTCAGCAGCACACGTGTGAAATGAGATTTCATTGAACTTCTTTGTTCTGCGCCCTGGTTTGGAGTGTATTTGCCAATTCGGTGCTTTGAAGTGCTTTGATCCGCTATACTGACGTAAAATGGGGAGCAGCATGCTGGCTCCCTTGTTGTGCTAAGCAGATGGGGTAAATGTATTCCATGTGTGACGCTTATGAGGTCGATGGGTCTTTTTTCAAGGAAAAAGGAAGGTGGGGAAATCCAGATGTGTGCAGCGTCAACTGCTTTCGGGCACACATTTGGTGAATCAACCCCACCCCCTGTAGTTGCCATTTCATTCGAATTTGCTTCTTCTCATTTCTTTATCGAAATATTCAAGTCAAGTTTTTTTTTTTTCACCCCCACTTGTCACATGAATGGTCGCCTTGATTGTCCCTTTAGAGGCACTCCTCGACCTCGTATCGATTCCGCTCCATGTTTTATGCGAGTTCAGGGTCAAATAGGAAGTACTTTGGTTTCTTGGCACAGAGCTTGGTCCGGGTTTGGCCTCCCGCCAACGTCAGAGTCAAAGTTTGCCCCTTGCGTTACTTGTGCAAACAGGGTTTGATGTCTGATATAATACCCCCAATCCCTCCCCCGACCCGGAAGTGCCCCGTCGCCCCCCCCCATCTCTTCTTCCTCCATGAGCCTCAGAAGTGAGCGAGGCGTTTGGGGAACTGAGGTGGCGTGACGGGAGTTCCTGCTGCAGTTCATCTGAGTTCAAGTAGAAGACATCTGCGTTTTAGAGAGGAAGCGATTGGGAGGTTAAGTAACTGTCATTTCAGCACTGACAAAAGGGCACCCAATCACTGCACGATGCATTTGACAAAACAGATCATTACATTCACGAAAAATCACTTTTCAAGCACCTCCGGTCCGCAGTTGCGTGTGCACACCATTTACAAGGGGGGGGGGGGGTATTTTCGGGTTGGGGCCAATAAACCAATTGCGGGAGGCAGCGTCCTGCCTAGTCTGCACGCTGGCGGTTTTGTGAGGAGGGGAGGGGTGGGGGTTTGACGAGCCCACGACTGTGAGCGAAAGCGCGGGCTATGGAGAGAAAGGGGCTACTGAGAGAGTCGGCAAACAGCAACCGTAGCCTCAGCTTGTCTGAGAGTTGGACGAGCCTGAACTTTCGGAGGTGGCGCCGCCGCGCAACAAGATGAAGGAGCTCTGTGTGCGCAACTCCCCGTCGTCCTCCGCACCTCCTGGCTGTTCAGCTGGCCAGTCCAGCAGAAGGGCAAGCCTTTCTGGCACTCTTGGACCTGCGCGCATGGTGCCGGCGGGTTCCAATATGGATTTCGATCCTTTGGGCCCTGACTACGTTTCCATGTGTCTGTTGGCAGATGAGTCTTACCAGAAGCTCACTCTGGAAACCATGGAGGAGCTCGACTGGTGTCTGGACCAGTTGGAGACCATCCAGACCTACCGCTCTGTCAGCGACATGGCATCCAACAAGGTATGACTCGGAATTTGCTCGGTTTGTCATGATTGGCGCTCTGAGGTTGTTGTGTTTCCTCGCTTATCGTACTTCCTCAATCTTATCTAGCAAGCAAAAGGAGTCACATCTCAAGGAATGTGAGGGACAAAGCGCGTCGCTGTTGTTTACAAGCTGGGCAGCAATTCTCTCGTGGGTTGTATTTGAAAGCAAGAAAGGTTATGGCGATATTATGTAGTTCAACTTTGTCGTACAATTTTAATCATGGTAGCAAGAATGCTTATTTACTGCTGTAGTGGTCTTGAGGTAGACTGGTGTGTCTATAAATTTTCACACTAATCAGCCGAGGACCATAAGCCTTTGTTTTCATGCATAATTGATGCCTGAATTGCTTTTAGGTCATGTTCCAATTCCACATTCACTTCAGTCGTTTGTTGTAGTGCCAAGGACAGCGTGGCTAATTTCTCCAGTGATATTATGGCAACAATGAACAGTTTGTCCCAAATTCGCGTTTTGAACATAAAGGGGACTTTCTATGGTAGTTCGAAACTGGTTTTTCTTGTCTTTTTTTTCCATTCCCCCGTTTCCATCTTATTCATGATTTGTTTTTCAATTCGCTCATCACATTAAGTCATGCGGTCCCTCCGAATCGCATTGAATTGTCATACTGTGGTCCACAATTCATGTTTCGCTCTTTCATTTGGGTGATTTATAGTAATCATGGCCCTTAATTTGTGCAATTATGGGCAAGAAAATGGAGCCCATGTCGTCACCGTATGAAGTTCACCAAATGTCATGAGCGTCGCTGCAAAAAAGAATGTGTTACGTTCCATGTTCTCATTGGCAGCCGTTGTTTTCAATCCGTGGATATTTCGTTTTTCATGGCCACGCTGATTATTTTGGCTGTCAATTGTTGAAAAAAAAAAAGCCAGTTAAAAGATCTTCTCAACCCCCCCCAAAAAAAAATATAGATTGTGTTTTGAAGATTGGTGGTCCTCCATCCTTTTAATTGAGTATACACGCTAGGTTTATTTGGTTTCATTTGATTTCTGTAAAAGTAAACTTGAATCCACACCACACAATTATTACTCAACCCTCACACAGACAGACGAGACTGCGTGGCGGCATTCCATGATAAACACCGAGGGTGATGTTGACCATTTCCGTCTCAACTATACACTGCGGTTCGTCGCTGGTGACTGACTGTGACCGTGACAGCAGTTTCCGGTCTCTGTATTTCCTTGTATTCCTTCTGTCTGCCGCTACGCCGTTCCCTTGCTAGTACATGACAATGGATGCTGTTCTGACCGGGTGGTCAAATTGAATCTTTCCAGGCAAACCACGTCACTGAGACCGTAAAGACAAAGAGCACGCGACCCGGCAGGGACTCGGCAAAATCTCTTAAGCGGTCAGGTAGACTGGGGCCATTGTTCAGGAGTCACTCACCTCCCAAAGGACCCATCGCGAAGCACTGTTGCAATGTTCTTTTTGGAGAGTGCAAAGGTTAATAAGTCATGGCACTGTAGCTAAGTTTAAAGACTGTCCGCTAGCTACCGCGGAAGTAAAGCTTGGATCGCGGCGTATTTCTATCAGTGCATCATCAGTGTAGGTTCCTCCCAACTTTTCTAGGGCACGTTTGTCAGAGAATTTGTTTCTTTTTGGAACCAGTAGACCTAATTGAACCCATAATCAGGCGCAGGGTGTCTCCACTTTCACTGGCCAAGGGCACAGGTGCATCCGGGGGGCTGGGACCACACACCCCGTTGACCACTAGCCCGGGTCCCAATGACCTCAGGGTGGGGAGCTGCCTGCCTGTACCTCACTATGATTAGCCTCACCGCACTTCCAGCGTGATGCTGGTGACGGCCTTGGACAAACATTGCCATCTGAATCCAGTTAGAGGAGTTTTCTGTGGGCCGACATGTGAGCAAACCCCTGAGCTGCGTGCACGCAAGTAGGAAACTTTAATTCACGTGTGGTCACTCGGTCTTTTGAAGTGCTGCCGTCTTCAGTGGGGGTGGTGAAAGGGGTAGGAGGGGCGGGGGACAAAATGACTGAAACAGATGCAGATGAGGGTCTGTCGCTGTGACGGGGGAAACGGGCATTAAATTATAGTGTTATGATTCCATGTGACTAAAAGTATGGGCAGGACATCAGACATGCCGCAGTAGATCACAGCGACCAGATTCTTTCTTCTGATTGCTCAGCATTTACCAAGAAACGTCTGCTTTACAGTAATGAAACTGGGCAAAATCCAATCCGTGTTGACACTCTAAACAGACGTAAATGAGCCACCGCTCAAATTGCTCATTCCGGGCTTTGTAAGATTGCACAGTGGTTGTTTTCGCAATATGCCCCTTCCCTTCCTCTACGTGTGTCGTTTCGGTGAAGGCCAGCGCAATGCTGCAAGACTTGCCACAAAAGCTGATGAATGCTGAACACACATGGTAGGCGGTAGCTGTAATTTTCCGCAAAAGCACGTCAGTGTGGCGTGATAACTTTTTTTTTTTTTTTGTCAGTGGCTTTTCATGAATGTATGCAGGTATGTTTCCAACTTGGGACCTGGGCCCGTGTATGCGCATGTACAGGATGTCTAAACGGTGTTCGTCACTGACGCTGTCATCTAAGAAGTCAAAGAGGAAGTAGGCGGAGTCACATTTTGCCCCAAGGTGGTGGGCGGAGCCTTCATTCTCTTGTGAGACTGAAAGCCAGTCAGTTTAGTTCGCTTCGTTATGATACTTTTCTGTCTTCACGTGAGAGGTTAGGGATCAGGCAGAGTTGCTAAACGGATCCCTCCAATACATTGAACAATATTCATTTTTCTTGTTTGGAATTTGTGTCACGTGACAATGGGACTATGTTTTTGTGAAAGAGAGAGGACAAACGCTCAGATGCTTGCTAGTTGGAATAAGGTAAGTTCTGGTGGTTGTAAATTATGCTTTGGGATGTGAAGACTCGAACTTGAATGCGGTCGTTGATTTGAGCTCACATCATTAATTAAATTACTTTGGAAACTATCATGAATTACGAATGTAAATTCACGTATTAAATTATTCAAGTGGTCTTAGAGTTAATTATTTTTAACTAATAACAACAATAATAATGTTGAGAGAGCTCACAGCGTCATTTGGGGTAAAATATTTCAAATGATTTCAAACTGACTTTTGTTTCAACCTGAGCGTCTTGACTCAGCTTTGATTAGCAACGAACCACAAGTTGTGGATGGTTACCAATACTTTGACCTAACTTTTCCTGTAACTTTGGTGTTCCCCTTTGTCGTTAAAATATAAATTGATGGAACAGTCAGCAGCATGCATCAAGTCATTTCTTCTCATCATCCTCATTTAACCCTGCCGCGTACGCAAACTGCATTCGCTAGATGTTTTCCAGTGTCCCACGTGAGCCTCAGCGTCTGAATCCGTTCCTAGAAGTCTCCTCAATTCATACCATCGTACTTCTTTAAAGAATCACCCCCAAGTGTCATTGAATCGAATAAAGGCGCCGAATACATTGCTCCCATTTTTTGCTGATGAGCTCCATTTGATTTGCATGACTTGCCTCCGGCGGTCTCGTGAGTGCAGCCAAGCCTTTGAATGCTGTCAAGTAGAGATTTGTTTCTTGCTTGACAGCTGTTAGACCGTTATTGTGAACTGGGGAGGAAAAAAAAAAAAAAGCTTATACGGGAAAGTAAATGATGCCATTGTAGGGACAAGGGCAAGAAAAAAAAAACCCATGAAACTCTTCACGTGTAACAATCCAGCATTGCAAAACAGAAATCATGTCCGTGGTTGGATGCCTTTGCATCGTTGAAACCGTTTTATCGATCAGCGTCTTTTTATTCTTGTTTGCGAACCACCATGAGAAAAGCACAGCGGGGCCACGTGACTCTGTTGCCATGGCGTTGAGGTTGTCGAGCAATTGGTGGCACCCTTGGGTGGGCTGCAGTCTGAAAACTCAGTTGTCACTCGTCATCTCCGTCTGCATCAAGATGTAGACAGTGAGAACGGGAGTATATTCTAGGTCGAGGTTAAACTGTGAAAGAGGGCTCCACTTTCAACTCGAAACATAATGATAGCCTGAACCGAGCCCAGCAGCTCCTTGCACTGTGGCAAATGAATACCCAGCATTTCCTTCGCCATGTGATCAACACGCCGGCGCTTTGAAGCCGCACATTGCGCAGTATGCATCGGATCTGTTCTGCATTAATGCGCAGGGGAGAGAGATGCCGGAGGGGAGAGAACAGCAGAGATGGCGGGGACGAGACAGCCAGCGGGAGGGGCTTTTGCACACAGCTAACAGTATTATGGGTGGAAGAGCGAGAGAGAGATTGTGAGTGGGGGGGAATCCCTGAACTTCTGTTCCCCCCCTCCCTCCCTCTCTCTCTCTCTCTCTCTCTCTCTCTCTCTCTCGTCTCGCTCTGTCTTGGCGCCTTCCCTTCCTCTCTCACTCGCTCAATCTGGGAACAGGAAGGCTGGATTTCCCCCAAGCCCCACCACCACCACCCCTTCCTATGTCACCGGATTCCATCTGGACGGTGGCTGGGGGGACGAGAGGGCTTTCGGAAGGAGGTCAGATGTAGGAAATATATCGATTGCAAGGCGGGGGAATTCCATCACATGTCCCGTCGCCGTGATTGTGGAAAGTGCCGGACGGGCATCCGAGGGAAGATGCGGATCTGGAGCGCAGCCCCTCTTCAGGAGGCTCAGCTGGGGCGTTTTGGCCAGTCGTCGATAGCCTTGGAAATCTGAGCACGTCGGTTGCGCCTTAAGGTCTTGGGACTGCGGGTCTGAGCTCAGCCTTGGGGGTCCACTCAGAGAGGAGCGCGCAAGGCTGCTTCTGCTGGGGAGCGCCAGGGGCTCAGCACAGCTCAACACCATGCCTGAGGCCAACTACCTGTTCTCTGTGTCCTGGGGATACATCAAGGTGTGTCTGGGAGGACAAATTGCTTACGTGTGTGTCTTCGGTGCTGTCCACCTTGTCTGGAAATGAGGATGTTTGTCCAATTTTGCATGACAACAAAGAGTCGCCATAATGTCGAGCGCGAATTGGGGTGGGGGGTTTGGTCTTCATTCGGTTAAGGTCAAATTCGTGGCCGTGCATGATGTTTGGGTAAAACCCCATGAAATGAACGTCAGCGTTGCTTTATCCTCTGAAGTGATCGCAACATCGGTGCGTGTATGCAATTGGATTTGTTGTAGCTGGTAGAAACCCTCCGATCACATTTGGATGTAGCTACACTTGGACTGGGCAATAATTCAACATCGATATATAGCGCGACAGACGCCTGATCAACATCAACAGGAATTGCCCTGGATTAAAAAAAATGTTTGTTTTTAATGAGGAAGCAAACCCCTGTCGTTGCTGGAGGCAGATGCTTCAGGCATACATGGCAATTTTCCGCGGATCCGCGGAAATCCGCCGTTTTATTTCTTAAATTGATCATTTTTGTGAATCGTCTAAATCCGTTGAGAAAATTTTAGGGGCGGTCAGGTACCTTATCGTCGAGTTTTCACGAGCTCTCTGGAACAGTCTCTCCGTTTTCCGTTTGTAAACAGCCCTGCGATTGGACATGTATGAAAGCTTCAACTAATCAGATCACTGAAGGCATTATTTGTTGCGGAAGTCTTAGCTCGATTATAAACAGCCCAGCGATTGGTTAACTACAAGCGATTGGACCAATCAAATTGCATGTAACATATTGTTTTACCTGATTCATGGCGGCCTGTTCGTCTCGCAAATTCATTGTTCTGGGATCGTTTTGAGCGGAATTATGAAATTTTTGACGAAAGATCAGGAGTCTTTAATCCTAGAAATTGACTCAAATGTCAAGAATAAATTCCGATTGGACTGGCTTGACAGAAAAGTCACTGTAAAGGTTAAAATTGGTTCCAAGTTCGACGAAGTTACAGAAGCTCTTGGACAATAAGCTTTGACGTAGCAGGCAAAGCTTATTGTGTGTATTGTAGTGACTTAATTAACTATGGCTCACGTGGATGCGTTGCACTGACAGATCATGCAACAAAAGTGAAAAAACATGCCGACAAAATCGCCATTCGACGGAGCAATTATTCTTTGGGATCGGCATTTTTCAAACAAACTTAATCAGCGGATACAACTAAAGACGTTACGCGCTGGGGTACTTTGGCTGAACCAAGCAACGAAATCTGCTCCACTGACGCCCCTCGCCGATAGACAGGTACACTCCGAGGTATATACTTTTTTATTCAAATATACGAGGATGATATTTTCACTTTTATTTGGTATGCATTTGTAGCAACAGCATGATAACATTTATTTGTTTTTATTTGCGTTTTATATTCATATTGATAATTCACGTTTTGTCTTGGATAATAAAGCACGGTTATGCATAATAAATTGTATGCATAATATTCACTATCACTGTATGAGGTAAGAATCAACAGCTTTTTATCACATTTACACAACACTTTATGAATACAAGTCATGAACAAATCTTAAATATGGCAGGGGATGTGTTTTCTTTTTTAGTTTTGATTTTGAGCAGCAAATTTGGAGTTACATATTGGTGCTCACCATGAATGCATAGGCAAAATTGCACAAATTTTCACTTGAAAGAATAGTGGCGATCTTGGGATTTTTTTCTGTTCAATTTTCAAACTGTGTAAATTTAATACACTTCATCTTCAGCATGTTTAGTGCCACTTTTGTAAGTAACCACGCCCCCGGCCACGCCCCGTCCAGGCCACGCCCCTTCCGCTTTTTTCATCACTCGCCATTGCCATGTATGTTCAGGAATGACATGTTCGATTTGTGCCAAAAGAGGAAATTTCGAGCACAAAAGCATCTTTTACCGCCAGATATTTGGAAAGTCATTTATCCTCTTGATAGTTATGTTTTATTTAATTTGGGGGGGAGGGGTTTCTTGTATCAATGTCATTGTTTTTCAGATTTTTCAATAGGTTGAAAAAAAACAATTATTGATAGGCAAATATGAAATATGTTGTGCTTCTCCCAGTCCTACTGAGCACATTGTTTTAAAAGTCATTTATTTCATCTTTAAATTTGACCAGTTCATCTGACATAGTTGCTTTAACCTCCTATTTAAGGTTAAGTATATTTTAAAAATAAAATTAGCTCAATTCAGCCTTTTCCCTAGGGGTCCTTATTTTGAAGAGTAACAATAATAATAATAATACTAATAATAATATTCAATATATATGGATCTCGACTGATATGAAAAACTTTCAAGAAAACTTGTTGAAGAAGACTGATGTTATCATCTTGGATCAGGGGTGTCAAACTCATTTTTGTCGCGGGCCACATTGTAGTTACGGTTTCCCTTGGAGGGCCGTTATGAATTTTGGGAAACTATATAAATGTTTCAGCCCCTCCACATATTACAAACACAGCGCACAACAAATTGATGAAAAACGAGTTTTAAAATCAGAAGTCAAGAATAATAACTGTTATTGTGGATTACAGATGAAAATTTTGGTTCAGACTTTAGCAAGCATCATGGAACTTGACATGCTTGATTTGCTTTCATGGGCCACATAAAAGGATGTGGCGGGCCAGATCTGGCCCCCGGGGCCTTGATTTTGACACCTGTGTCTTGGATGGACCCCCGGGCTCAGAAATTTGGACTCTGTTTAACTGAATATGAAAGAGCGTCATGCCACTGCAACCTCCACATCATGTCCCGCAATTCATCTGATCAAAATGTGAAATGGAGCCAAAAGGGTGTACAAAAAATCGCACGTCCTCATGAGGACAGTCCAGGCTCATTCTCATCCGTCTGCTCGGTCACAGTCGTGAAAATGTTGCGTGTCTATACATTCCCTTTCAACTTCACTTTTGTTTTTGTCTCCGACCTAGTTCAAAAGGATGCTGAATCGGGAGCTGAGCCACCTGTCTGAGATGAGTCGCTCCGGCAACCAAGTATCAGAATACATCTCCAATACCTTCCTAGGTCAGTCCCTGCATATGACCGCAAACACACACACACACACACACGAAAGCCCGTTATGTTTCGGTGCTGTATCATACTTAAATGCGCCGATGTCCTTGAGAAGTGCCTCGTGCAGGGGTTACGCTCATAACGTGCAGAGGAACTAGCTGGTGTGCACCGCTGCCTCCAAACCAGTCTAATCTGGTCTAGAGGAGGGAGACGGGGCTCCCTTTGCTCTGACTGCAGTGCCATGTAGAGGGTGAATATTGGGAGAAGGGGGGGGGGGGTCTCATCGGGAAAGACTTTCCCCCGAGGGAGATCAGGGCAGAGTTTGGCAAACGGAGAATGTCTGTGTGCTTTTCAATGTGAGTCGACTTTGCGGAGGAGCACGTTAATGTGCGTGTTTTACCGTGCCCGCGGGTCCCGAAAGACAAATCCATTATTCATCATGGGAAGTGGCCGAGTTTCTCTGTTTTTTTATTTATTTATTTATTTATTTATTTATTTTATAAAGCCTGGCGGCATTTAGCCACTCACGAACCTCCCGAGGCTTTTCCTCCCTTTACATTCTGTTTAAACACAAGAAGACAGGATGGAGAACAGCAGAGGGGACGAAAACGAAGCACGCAGACGAACGCTCCCTCAGCTCATCCGAAAGCCGATTTGTTGTCATCTGCATTGCAGCGAGCAGCCGTCAAGTGGAGCAGGAATATTTACCAGCTCTACTTTCCTCGCCGGCTTTTATTCTGCCTCTTTGTGCTGGCTGCATGCGGATCACGCAGCATGCGAGGATGTCACACAATACCTTTGCACATGCGCTGAACAAACCTGGACATTAATTTGCGGGTTCCTTCTCGAAACTGTTCGCACTGCGCCGTGTGCATACTGCTGCCTTTTAATCCACAGCCCCATGCCGGTCCCAAGCTTGGATGAAAAAACAAAAACATTGGTCGGGTTTCCGCCGTGTGCATACTGCTGCCTTTTAATCCACAGCCTCTGCCGGTCCCAAGCTTGGATGAAAAAAACTAAAACATTGGTCGGGCTTTGTCAGGAAGGGCATCCGGAGTAAAAACCTTTGCCAAAAAAAAAATCATGCTAGCGGGACGGGACAAACCAAAAGTTGCGACAACTTCTCGAAACAGTCCTGTCCTATATGTTATGGTACTGGAGTAAAAACCTTTGCCAAAAAAAAAATCATGCTAGCGGGACGGGACAAACCAAAAGTTGCGACAACTTCTCGAAACAGTCCTATATGTTATGGTATTGTGGTTTTGGGCCACAACATGACCGTGGCATGGGAGCTTTTGTTTATTTTTTTCACGTCTCATTTGTAATCGCTCAAGCCTTTTTGTCCGAACCACACTTCCGTTTGATGTCACATGAAAAAGTAGGTCGCGAAACTGTCATTTAGGGTTTTCACATATGTGAGAAGTCAACGATCTACCCGTGCAAGTTTTGAATCCATTTTCTCTTCTTCTGCTCCACAGACAAACAGAATGAGCTGGAGCTCCCGTGTCCCGTTCCCAAGTCTCGAGAAAGAAAGCGGCGGCAAGGCCAGCAGCCACAGCAGCAGCAAGGTGGGGTGATGACTCAGATTGGCGGGGTGAGGAAGGGCAGCTACACACCCTGTTTCTCTGGAGGCACCAACAATCGCTTCGGGGTCAAGACGGATCAGGAAGAACTCTTGTCGAAGGTGAGAGGTCACTCCATTAACAGAGGAATTTTTTTTTTTTTTTGAATGGATCTCTTGGGCTGATATGCGTACAAACTGCTCTGTACAATGTTGTCTTTAAATCAGGACCTGGAGGGCATCAACAAATGGGGACTGAATATCTTCAGGGTGGCAGAGCACTCTCACAACCGGCCCCTCACATGCATCATGTACGCCATCTTTCAGGTCAGTGTCATGTTTGAAAGCAGACTATTCATCTTTTGTGGTGGATCAAAAATAAAACTTTTGCTCTTATCTGGAAGGAAAACAATGATCACCGTTTTTGCCTTTGTACATTTTTTTTTTCCCTGACATATTACGGACCAAACCACTGTTACTAGTTTGGTATCTTTTTTTTTTTCATAATGAATTTATGTTTGTGCAATTTTTACATTGTCAATTTGAATCCAGGGTTTGAATAAAGCGAGGGAAATTTAACATTTTTCTAAAATTGATTCAATTAATTGACAAAATAATCAACAGATTAATACATTATTTTAAAAAAATAGTTACAAACCTAGCTGCGTGTTAAAGTAGCAATTTAAAAGTTTCCAATTATCGCAACATGGATGCTAATTTCCGTTAGCCCATCAATTGATGTTTATGTTAGCATTAAGCCAGCATACTACAGTTATCCAAGTTATGTGGCTCGGTTGAATATTTTGGAGTGTTCAATTCTCTTCTGTTCCATGTGTCATTTTTAAGCTCGACCTCAACTAGACAAATAAACAACTTGAAGCAAGCACTCTTGACATCTTATCTGGTGTGAACGAGGAGCATATTTTTTTTCGTTTCGTCAAAGTGATATCCTTACCTTAATCTCCTGTTTCTTGCCAGCAAGAGACTGATAATAGGTGCTTGGGAATCCTTCCAAAAAAAACCCAAAACGTATCTTTTGTAACTTTTGTTCTCTGTGTGACGCACAGGAGCGAGACCTGATGAGGACGTTCAAGATTCCAACGGATACGTTTGTGACGTTCATGCTCCCCCTGGAGAGCCACTACCACTCTGACGTGGCTTACCACAACCAGATTAATACATTATTTTAAAAAAATAGTTACAAACCTAGCTGCGTGTTAAAGTAGCAATTTAAAAGTTTCCAATTATCGCAACATGGATGCTAATTTCCGTTAGCCCATCAATTGATGTTTATGTTAGCATTAAGCCAGCATACTACAGTTATCCAAGTTATGTGGCTCGGTTGAATATTTTGGAGTGTTCAATTCTCTTCTGTTCCATGTGTCATTTTTAAACTCGACCTCAACTAGACAAATAAACAACTTGAAACAAGCACTCTTGACACCTTATCTGGTGTGAACGAGGAGCATCTTTTTTTTCGTTTCGTCAAAGTGGTGTCCATACCTTAATCTCCTGTTTCTTGCCAGCAAGAGACTGATAATAGGTGCTTGGGAATCCTTCCAAAAAAAAACCAAAACGTATCTTTTGTAACTTTTGTTCTCTGTGTGACGCACAGGAGCGAGACCTGATGAGGACGTTCAAGATTCCAACGGATACGTTTGTGACGTTCATGCTCACCCTGGAGAGCCACTACCACTCTGACGTGGCTTACCACAACAGTCTGCATGCCGCCGACGTCGCCCAGTCCACTCACATCCTGTTGTCCACGCCGGCGTTGGATGTAAGTGTGTCACACTCACACGCGTTTTTGTACATCCTGAGGCGGAAAATGTAAACGCGTTTGTGTAGCATTTAGAAGCGTTTCCCTTAGAAATTGGGCTGGCGCTATGACGGCTTTTCCCACATGCCTTTTTTTTTTTTAATTGTTTAATGAGCTGACTTCCATTGACGTCAAGCCTCATGAAATTGCAAACCGCACATTTAACACCAAGAGGCTTCAAACACATGACAAGCCTGCTCAGCCAGTTCACTGAAAGAGCCTAATTTGTTTTATTGTCCCATTAAAACCCAGGCTGTATTCACTGATCTGGAGGTGCTGGCAGCTATTTTTGCAGCTGCCATTCATGACGTCGATCACCCGGGAGTGTCCAATCAGTTCCTAATCAACACCAGTAAGTGTTGTTTTGAAGTATTTACTCTGCAGGTCGATTTTTTTTACGCTTTATCTGCCTCCAGAGGCAATAGTGCGCGGCTGTTTGGGGAGAAACGTTGCACGGTTGCTATAGTTACCTGCGCTCCATTTCATTTCCCCGCCGTTGCTCCTTTCATCCCGCAGACTCCGAACTGGCTCTGATGTACAACGATGAGTCAGTGCTGGAGAACCACCACCTGGCTGTGGGCTTTAAACTGCTTCAGCAAGACAACTGCGACATCTTCCAAAACCTCAGCAAGAAGCAGAGGCAGACGCTCAGGAGGATGGTCATAGACATGGTGAGAAAACGCGGCCGGGCCCGCTGCTTTTTTCCTTCATCCCCGAAATGACGTCTCACATCTGGCTTCCCCTTTCAGGTTTTGGCGACGGACATGTCGAAACACATGAGCCTGCTGGCAGCCCTGAAAACGATGGTGGAGACCAAGAAGGTGACGAGCTCGGGGGTCCTTCTGTTGGACAACTACACGGACAGGATGCAGGTAACTAGCACGCTAGCGCCACCCGGGACATAGGTGAGCACACGGATCCAGAGGTTTGAACCGTGGACCATTCCCGCAGGTTCTTCGCAACATGGTCCACTGTGCCGATCTGAGCAATCCCACCAAGCCTCTGGATCTGTACCGGCAGTGGACCGACAGGATCATGGACGAGTTCTTCCACCAGGGAGATCGAGAGCGGGAGCGGGGGATGGAGATCAGCCCCATGTGTGACAAACACACAGCGTCAGTGGAGAGGACGCAGGTGGAGTTTACGCACTAAAATAAAACGCGTGAGATCAGCAGAGGTGGAAAAAGTCCACGTGATCCGGACTAAAGTACCGGTGTAGTTTTACTTGGTTTTTTTTTCTGACATGTTCTGGATCAAATCACTTACTGAATCATCATGAATTGATGTTTGTGCAATTTCGACACTGCCAGTTTGAATTCGAGTCCTGTTTTGAAAGAAAGGGAAGAATATGAAAATGTCGCAATCCTAGACAAAATAATTGACAGAATGAATGAAACGATGATACTTTGGATCCACGCGGACTGATAAACAGCGTGAGAACGCCGAGCAGTGACTGCGTTTATTGATGCTAAAGAGGCTGTTCACTCGCAAAGCAAAAATTGTATTCAAACTTAATTATATATTTTCACTTGACTTGTGCTTGTCAACAAACGTGCCTCCTTTGACAAAGCCTGGTGTTGAGAAAAAAAACAAAAAAAAATCAATCTGAAAAATAAATACTCAAGTAAACAACGGATACCTGGCAAAAATACGGTACCAAAGTACAGTAAGGGACTATTTTGAAACTTTTTACTAGGGTTGAATGATTTTGAAAAATAATCGTGTGGGTTTTTCCCCTCCTTCAGTATTACAATACAATTATTTATTTCAAGGTCCTTATTGAGACATTGTATAAATAATATATGTAAAAACTACATGTACAGTATAGAAAAAAAATCAAGTCTTGCGACTGACTTTTATTTCGCTTTTTTTTTTTTCTAAATTGCAGCCTTTCCCGATTTGAAAAATGCATTCTCCTACATTGCAATGTCGATTTTAATTTATTTTTCAGTCCCACTTCCCACCACTGCTGATCATTAGTGTGAGCTCATTCCTGTGAGTCACGTCCCAACTGACGTCGTCCTTCATTCCTTTCAGGTGGGCTTCATTGACTACATCGTGCATCCTCTGTGGGAGACGTGGGCCGACCTGGTCCACCCGGATGCTCAGGACATCCTGGATATGCTGGAGGACAATCGCAACTGGTACCAGAGCATGATCCCCCAGAGTCCCTCTCCTCCCTTCTACTCCGGCGAAGGCGACGGGGGACCGCACGGGCAGGTGGAGGGCCTTCCCGTTGCCAGCAAATTTCAGTTTGAGCTGACGCTGGACGAGCAGGAACGCGAAAGCGCCGAAATGGAGACCCTCCAAGTTCTTCCTTCCGATCAGGACGGGGTCGGCACGGCGACGCACGACGTCTCCCCGGCCGAGACATAGCCGGACCGAGCGCTTGGTTGGAAGAGTGCAGCACCTCTTGGGAGATCATGTTGAATTGCAGTGGAGAAATCCTGCAACGTTGGCTCTTTGGAGCTTCCTGGCTGTGAGGGCCTCGCTGAATGTGTGGCGCTCCTGCTGAGGAGCCTCGGAAACCCCGCGGCGGTTTGTTTTTGAATCCGGGGGATGCAAGGTGGGGGGGCTTCTGTTGGAACTGGAGAAGCTTGGCAAATGCGCTGGCTGTCACAGAAAAAAAGTCCCCTTACGAGTGGACAATCTTCAGTTGTGTACACGGACCGTTGGAAAATTCCCAACTTGCACTTCAGAACATTTGTTGAATTCATTTACAAACACGGCGTCACGTTGTGTTTGGATTAAGTGGCCAACCAAGTTATTTGGAACCTAGCCGTTTTTTTTTCTTTCTCTCTAACATGTCTTAAAAATGTGTGCTTTTTTTTTTTTACAACCCTATCCTTTTGTAAATATTTTTTCTAATTTATTGAACACATTCATGTAGCCGTAAGACATGTACCATTTTCTACGGAGGGGACATGTTTGTCTCACACAGTCTTCCTAATGCTCTGGCAATAGCGTGAACTCCTTCTCAATGAAGCTTTCCGTGGCTGCGTCTCGAAATCAAAATCACTTGGACTTCCCAGCACACTTTGTGGCCCAAAGTGACGAAGGTAACGGTCAGGTCAACATGTGAAACCCGAATCATGTGTACCGTATGTGTGTTTTTCCCAAAAAAGTCGACAGCATAAGCAATTAGTAACTGAATTTTTCACATCCAAAGATCTTGTCATTGAGAGCACTTTGACGGCTTCGCTGGCCATTTTGTAAAAGTTTTGGTGGGAGGACGACGTTAGGCAGACGAATTTCGTTTCAAGCCGCGCTTATAACGTCCGCTTTGAAAATGTCTTTTCCCTTCCCGTGAGGTCAAGCACTTCCATGACGCACACACCCGTTATGCTTAGCACCCTTCCAGTCCTGTGAATTCACTCTACGACCGTGATTCACCGTAAACTTCAAACGACTTGGACACACGTGCGACACGTTTAACGACACGTAAGTGATTTTAAATAATTTTGTATCTCGTCCTTCTGTTTGTGGCACTTTGTCGACAGTTTCTGCAGCGGGTCGCCGATCTTTCAACGTTAGCTTAAAGGTACCACGTTGTTGAGTGCGACCTACATTTTAAGGAGCAGCTGGGCCATCGTGTAATGGCATTGAGTCGCTTTCTCCACGCGCGCGTGCGCGTAAAATGATCACAGAATTGCACAGAACCTTGTTTGCATCCAGCCGTGCAGTGCTCAACGCTTCCGCTGTTTGCAACAGTCTATTTATTTATCCTTTCATTGTATAGTATATTATTGATATTGGTTCGGAATTGTCACTGTAAATGTGTTATTTACATGCACTACTACATGTCAAATCAGTTTGACTGAAATTGTCCGGTGGCTTTTGCGTTGGGCTATTTTGTTATCAGACCACGACGTGGACATTATGCAGTTCAAATTTGAACTACAGTCAAACCTTGGTTTTCGAACATGTCTGTTCTCGACCAAATCGGTTTTCAAGTAGAAAATTCAGTATTTTTACGCCTCGGATTACGACCGAAAACGGTTTTTCGACCAAAGTGAGCAAACCCGAATACGCCACTTGACTCGTCTCGGCTTCCTTACACGAGGAAGCGACGAAGAAGTGACGCTTCCTTTTTTTTCTTTTAATAGAATCTTTATTGAACAAGTCATAGTACAATTCTCAATAAACAGAAAACAAAATGAACATGTTGAAGTGACGCTTCCTCGTGTAGCGTTCATTGTGAGTAGACGTGTTGTGATTTACGTAAATCTGACTGTTTTCATGCGAGTTCTGCATAGTGTATTCGCCCCTAATCATGCGCTCGTAAAATAGTTTGGGATTTCCAACAAATCGCTTTTCGAACAGCCTTCTGGAACGGATTATGGTCGAAAACCGAGGTATGACTGAAACGTACTGTACTTTTTGGAGTTTCTGAGTGAGAGATGTTTGGATCCACCTCATTTGGGGTGCAGACTGTTTCGCCTTAACGGAAGCCATTAAGTTCTCAATAAAACGTGTACGGTGACGGGTCATTGTACAGTTCGAAATTTCTGTTGAAATGTACCATCAAAATGTATTTTTTCAGTGTTTTCTTCACAGTAACTTATCGTCCAATGGTATATGTTGTGCTCAACAAATGTTTTCTATCAGATGATTAAAAATGGGCATGTATTACATTTTCCTGACTGGAGTGTTTTTGGGGTGGAGGAGGGACACATGGGCACAGTAAATCATCACAAAATGTGTTTGTTTTTTCAACAAACAGCCACCAGTTGCATGCGCACTTTTGAAATTATCATCATAAAATGAAATTTGCTCAAATTAGTTTCTATTATGATTATTGATATTCATTTATATAAAGAAAGCGGTTCAGAAAATGTGGATGGATGGATTCATGTAAAGACTGTGATCGTGTGAAGAAATTCGCATTGGTAATTAGGAAACAGCTAAAGATCAATATACTAAAATTTCCATAAATCTTCAATATTTACATTTTCAAACAATCATGCGGTATTCCTAGAAAATCACAATGTTTCATCACTGGTGACTGACTATTTTTAGAAGAACGCTGCTTGCTGCTCATGGGGAAACCTTTGGAGATCGCTACAGTTAACGTACTTTGCTGTCGAGTGAGTTCAAAAGTGTGTTTATAAATACACGATGCATGTTTGAAAATAACGGTGGTTAAGACGTTTTTTAAAAATCTTGTTTTCGGAGATGCAATTAAACTTTACTAGTAAAACTTTTTTTCCACTTTGGAGTCCAGCATGAGTCGCTCCTCACCCAATATATCAAAACTTCGGTGCCTTCATTCACATCAGGAGTTATCTTGGGCAATTGTCATAGCTAGGTGGCAACTTTGGAGTGCCTCGTTGTCAGTCACAAGTGTGTGGACATTGCGCAGGGATAGGCAGAAGTGCGAGGAACCGATTTATATTTTTCTTTTTAAATGTCTGTCTTGACAGCTAGCGTGTAGAACTTCGGGGCTGTGCGTGTGTGTTCGGGCTGGCGTGGCCACTTCAGAGCGCCTTGTTATCACACACCCACAGAATTCGAGATTGGAGAGAATGGTGGATTTTTTTTTTTTTTTTGGATTGTTCAAATTTAGCAGACTTTTAAACAAAACTCTTCCCTGTGGTGTGACAAATTTCGAAGTCCCAAAACGTATCGTAAAAATTCAACTCCACAAGTGAAACTTGTGCCAACCTTGAGTGGAAAATTTGCAATTCTCAAAGCAATGACATTAGTCACATGTATCCCTGATGAGTTCAGTCCCGTGGCCACAAACTCATCGTAATGTAAACAGGAAGAATGGAAGAGATAGTCATGCTATGTGCTTAGCCCTCAGGGCAGTCACTCTCCCATGGCCTCATGCACCTTGACCCAAACTGATAAGCACCTGAAATACACGATCCACAAGCCGGGAAAGAAAAACGGAATTAGCATGAAAGCGCAGATGACGTCAAACGGCTTTGAGTTTCTGTCAAAAGGAAGGCACAAAAGGAAACATTTGATATCAGGTTAGCTGTCGTTGCTGAAGGACAAGCATTCATACTCATGCGGTGATGCATCCAAAAAAATTTGCTGATGGGACCGCTCGCTATTGAACATTCATTCAAATATTTTCTGCAATGGTGCGTCATCACCCGATGGATGTTCATCCAATTTATATAAAACAAATAAAGACAAATTCTGACACATACACACACAAGAATGTCTATAGTTGAGGCTCATTGAAATGCTTGGGAATTTGTTTAAACCCCAAATTCTGCAAAAAAATGCTGATAAACATATAATATGCATTATATATGAAATACGTGGGGAAATGGGAACCCCCCCACCCAAAAAAATAGGAATCAAAAAAGGCGGTCCAGTGGTTAGCGCGTCAAGCTCACAGTGGGTTCGATCCCAGCTCCAGCCTCCATGTGTAGAGTTTGCATGTTGTCCCCGTGCCTGCGTGGCTTTTCTCTGGGTATTGCGGTTTCCTCCCACATTCCAAAGACATGTAACAGTATTCAAGGGTTAAAATGAAACTTGAACTATTTTCCTGGACATTCAGCTCAGTGAATATTTACAGTCAATACAGGCGCGCAGTCAAGGTCTATTTTTTTTTTCCATGAAGGTGCTCCATTCTTCCATGGTAACCGGCAGGGATTTACTTTAAAACTCATAACACGGGTCAAGTGGTTTGTCACCGACTGACGTCATGTGACTGATCCAACTCTGGCAGCGGCGTCTGTGAACTGTCTGGTTTCGGGTTGGACCGGAGGTTCCTCACAGCCGCTCGGCTTCCCGCCTCAGCGCGGTACCAGCCAGGTCCAGTGAAGGCCTGCAATCTTTGGCCAAGGCAGGGAGGAAGAGAACCACTTCCTGAAAAACAAATCTGCTCTCTCCCTATCCACATTATGAAAACAAATGTCTTCCTGAAATTTTTTTACTCACCAGCTGCTGTTTATTTTCATTCGGATTGACGGTGTGTCGTGCAGTCAACCGGGCGGTTCAGGGAAAAAATGTGAGGGAATACGAGTGGGCATTGCAGCGGAATTCAATGGAAGCTTGGGGCTCAAGTGTGGAGGGCAGTGATGAGCTCAGATGGCCTCAGACTGATGAGGAAGGAAGAACGTCGAAATAGAAAGCTTCCCCCACTCTCGGGAAAATGATGCATTTGGAAATGATAAAATAGAGGGATTTGCTTCCTCCAAAGGCGACGCGTAGGAGTTTCTCTCTAGCTCTCTGTCTGACTGTAAAACGCAACATTAGGACAATAACAGGATGGGTGCTTCCCACTAAATGTCATCAAGCATCAGGTCGTCAAACATGGTGGGAGTCATTGACGTGCTTTTTTTTAATCCGAGTCTTGTTTTGGAGGAGCATCTAAAACATGTAAGCTAGTGGCCCTCAATGGACCGGTGTTGGACATCCCTGACATACTGCATATTTTGTGATTTCCAAGTTGTTTGAATTTCCAAACTGTTTTTTTTTTTTCAAATTGTGCAAATATTGAAACTGAATTCCTCCCCGGGTCAGAGTACCCTAAAATGAAGCGTTTCATCAAGAATTTACATTTGCAACCCTTCAGATGCAGATACAAGTGTATTACTGATTCTCACTACTCAATAAACCCAATAAATTGTAATAATGCTAAAGACATGCTAACATTCGGACATTTTTATAAAGTCAAACATATCTCAGAAACAACACCAAAAATACCAAATAAATGAAGACACGGAGATGCGTGTGTGTGTGTGTATGTGTGTTCTTCCCATAATTTAATAAAACAAATACATAAATACAATGACAAAGGTCCCAAAACACAAGATCATTGACATTTTCATATTATCTTTCTGCAATGGAATTAAATAAACAATTTTTTTTTACTCACGGCACGGCCGACCAGTGGTTAGTATGTCCGCCTCACAGTGCAGAGGTGCAGGATTCGATTCCAGTGCTGGCCTTCCTGTGTAGCGTTTGCATGTTCTCCCCGTGCCTGAGTGGGTTTTCTCCGGGTACTCCGGTTTCCTCCTACATTCCAAAAAACATGCATGGCAGGCTGATTGAAGACTCTAAATTGTCCCTAAGTGTGGTTGTGAGCGCAAATGATTGTTCATCTATGCTGGCAACCGGTTCAGGGTGTCCCCCACCTACTGCCCGAAGACAGCTGGGATAGGCTTCAGCACGCCTGCGACCTAGTGAGGATAAAAAGGCTTAGACAATGGATGGATGGATGGATATTTTTACTAGTAGCTAACCTGAGTCATTAGTTGTATTACGCACAAAAGTGATGTACAATTACACGACATTTATTTCAGCCGGTGAGAACATAATTTAAAACCCAATGAAAGACAAGTGTACTCCGGTTTCCTCCTACATTCCAAAAAACATGCATGGCAGGCTGATTGAAGACTCTAAATTGTCCCTAAGTGTGGTTGTGAGCGCAAATGATTGTTCATCTATGCTGGCAACCGGTTCAGGGTGTCCCCCACCTACTGCCCGAAGACAGCTGGGATAGGCTTCAGCACGCCTGCGACCTAGTGAGGATAAAAAGGCTTAGACAATGGATGGATGGATGGATATTTTTACTAGTAGCTAACCTGAGTCATTAGTTGTATTACGCACAGAAGTGATGTACAATTACACGACATTTATTTCAACCGGTGAGAACATAATTTAAAACCTAATGAAAGACAAGAGGACCACGAGTCTGCGTAGATTCTTTGCTGTGTGTCAAATCACATTTTTCATGATGAATTAAGGACATGGAACCAGACTGACATTTGCACTGAGTGACCTCGGGGGTTGTTTAGCCATGGCGGAGTTAGCTCAGGAATCGTTCGGACATGGAAGAGAACATCCCTGTGGCATCGCACAAGAGCATGATGTCATCTAAAAAAGTTGTTGGGGGGGGGGGGGGGGGGGGGGGGTTATCAGATTTTCATTTCCATATCCCAGCAGATCCTCAGGATGAAGGTCAACAAGACACCCACACACACTTACAACACCACAGGTCCCCCTTTTCATTCAGACGCTGCAAGGGAAAGGGAAAACATTCTAATTGGACTCAAGCATTGCGAGGTAAGAGGAAGAGCAGCTCTTCTGACTCTCCCGAGCGTCAAAGTGAGCAAGTGTGTGGGAGGAGATGTTCAACATGCACTGCAGTGACAGTTTGGTGTGGAGGGAAAGACACTGCGTGTGCCAGAAAAAAAAAAAACCCAGATGAGGCTTGCACAAACTGCAACATCCCTCTGGATGCTTCGAGAGGGACATGAGGGAAAAATACAGGCACAATATAAAACAGTTTATGGTAGAAAAAAAACAACAACATCAAATTGACCAATGATGCATTTACTGTATGTATACACATTTTCAGCACACTAACCAACCACCTAAATCATCTAATATGATCCAATCTAAAAGCTGTTAAAAAAAAAGATTGATCTCAGTTTTAATGCCAGCAGCACAGTGATCAACTGGGCACATGTTGACAAACAACCATTCGCGCTCACACTCACACCGAGGGACAATTTGGAGTGTTCAATCAGCCTGCCATTCATGTTTTTGGAATGTGGGAGGAAACCGGAGTATCCAGAGAAAACCCACGCGGGCCCGCGGAGAACATGCAAACTCCACACAGGAAGGCCAGAGCCAGGATCGAACCCACGACCTATGCACTGTGAGGTTGATGCGCTAACCAGTTAACCACCATGCTGCTAAATTCAACTATACAGAGCAGTGGTGCAGGGTTCGATTCCGGCTCCGACCTTCCCTATGTGGAGTTTGCATGTTCTCCTCGTGTCTGTGTGGGTTTTCTCCGGGTACTTCTGTTAGGGAGGGGCCAGCCAGGCAGTGTCCTCAGCCAGGGCGCTCTGCACCTCACACCTGACACTCGCCAGCTCATCACCCACCTGTAGCCCATCTGCTCGTTTCGACTGGTATAAGTTGGCTCCCAAACCATTCTTCAGTGCAAGTTTTGCCGTCACCACCCGTAGTGAGCACTGTTGGCATCACCTGCAGTTTTTGTTTCCTGTGCGGACGTTCTCTGTGGACTCCTCGAGCTTCTCCCTGATCGTTTAAGTAAGTCCCAGTTTTCTCCCTGCGTGAGGTTTTCGTTTCTTGTGTCGACATTTCCCTGTGGATTCTCCGTGCTTCTCCGTGAGTGACATTTCACAGACCCTAATAAACAACGCCAAGTGTTGGCCTTCACCATACCTGCCTGTTGTCGTGCATTTGGGGTCACATACAAACCCTAATAACTCCAGTTTTCTCTTCCAAAAACATGCATGGCAGGTTGATTACATATTCCAAATTGTCCCTCAGTGTGATTGGGAGTGTGAATGGTTGTCTCTGTGGGCTCTGCAATTGTCTGGCAACCAGTCCAGGGTGTCACCTGCGTACTGCCCAGAGACGGGTGGGATAGGCTCCAGCACCCCCCGCGACCCTTGTGAGGATAAGCGGATCGGAAAATGGATCGATAGTTCAAGTCAACTTTATTGCCAAATGTGCTCTCTGTGTAACATACAGCGCAGATGAAATTTCTTTCCGCTCAACCACAGGAGAGAGGAGCCGCTGCGGGTGCATGTGCCGCCATCCATAGGTGGATGGATATGTAATTAATACCTCAGGGGTCTGGAAAATTTTGGACTTGAATGCATTTAGACAATTTTGTAACTGATCTATCTATCCTCTCTACAGTAATTGTACATTAGGGAAGAGGTAAGAAGGGAAAAATGTTCTTTTGAGCTTGAACATAGTGAGGCATTGTGGGAGTTTTCAACTTCACATTCCTATCTGGGGACGTGACGTCAAGCACAGAAAGTGTCGGGTCACGTTTTCAGCGCGGTGATGATACACATGTCCATACAACACCGCAAACACAGAAATAGAGGAAGGAAAGAGACTCACATCTTCAACCTAGAAATACAGTCACTATTTTAAAACCATTATTTGGCTTCAATAACGCTACATTAAAAAATAGAAAAATAAATCGTGTGACTTTTCCTTAGAGACTCTTTTTTTAAAAACATTTTCATAAACAGCCCATCAGAAAAGAAACAAATGCAAATTCAACGCTGCTCATTTGGGGAAAAATACAAGCATTCTTAACCGTTTCAGTGAATGACAAAAATACCGGCACTGTACGATAAGAGGAAGTACTGGTACGATAACATCTGACAAACCTGTAGAGCTGATGTGATTGTGTTTTACAGTAAAAAAAACAGCTTGCACCATCTCTAGGAAAAACACTGGCTACCGAAAGCTTTTTGTTTTGTTTTTTTAAATCAGTTTCATCGGCGTGATGTCAGGGATATGATTAGCCACTTGTTTTGGTGTTGTGAATTCCCGTCAGGATCAAGCCAGACTGCCCTGACCCAGCTTCCTACGTGCCCACTGGCCTGTTCTCTATTACAGGAGCGATAAGGAAGCCAAATTTCCCCCCTCCGCCCTTGCTGCCCCCGCAGACGTTGCTTCCCACAAGGTCATGACGGCCTTCCTCAAATGTGGTCCTGGCTGCACGCTGCTCCAAGTGCGAGTGATGGGGGATGCAGATATGATTCTGTTGTGACTGGGCCGCCCAAAGCATGCGATGCTGCTCAGATATGAGTCATGTGTTTATGTGACTTGTGTGGTTGCACGTGCAAAACCAGTATGATGGTATTTTCATTTCGGGTAGATTTGTGTACTTCGAGTACATCTGTAATGTAACATTGGTAAAAAAATATACATGTAGTCGTGAATGTGTCATATTTTCTTATTTTGAATGAGGCATACATTTGAAATGCTGTTAGTGTGTAAATTTCAGGGAATGACTGATAAATAAAACTAATTAATAATATAACGGTAGCAAAATGTCGTTTTTCGTCTGTCATTTAATGAGCTTTTGGGGTTCATTTTTAATTTTTTTTTTTTTTTTTAATATTGCTGTGCATCTGTGGCTACACAATACGGAAGATCAAAAACTTGTTTGAGAATTTATTTTATCACATCATATTTGAAGATATTTCACTGAAAATATGCTTTATTAAAAAATAAGGATAAAACTAAAGTGAAACAAAACATTCTCAAAAGAATAAAAACACATTAAAACTGTCATGATTCGGTTTGGGACCAACAGGTGGCACTGTAGGGCTCCCCTGCAGCTGCACACCTGTTGGTCATTAGCTAATTAGTGGCTTTAAAAGGACTCCCAGCCCGAGCAATCATTGTCGGGTCATTGTTGCTTTGTGCTACTGTCATGTTTGTTTGTTGCTGTTTGTTAGCTGCTGTCATGTTTGTTTCAGTCAGGTTTTGGTCATTGTTATGTTTTATCTTCGATTCTTCGGTCATGTGTTTTGTTTGATACTTTGGACTTTGTTTGTTTTGGATTTAGTTTTGAGTTTTAATACAAGCTTTCAAGTACAACCTGCTCCTCCCTCTTGCCTGCTTTTTGGGGTCCACCACCACCTCTCAAACGTGACAAAAACAAAGGAAAACTAACTTTTTCTGTATTTAAAAAAAACAAGTCAAAAGGAAATGAAGCAACTATAATGAAAAATCCCATACTAGAGTATGATAGAACAACTTTTACTTTTTCATTTCAAAGCACGTAGTTTGTTTTATTCCTTATTTTGTCAAAATTGCTATCTACTTTTCTCACTTCCTGCATTGTACAGCACTTTGAGTTCCCTTCTCCCACTGGACTCCAATACACTTTCTAAGCCTGCTGTGCCACACCTTCACATAACCCTTACAGATTCCTCTGGGATCCTTAAAGCTCCGTCGTCAAAGCAATCCTGATTTCATACATCTTCAAAACGGGTCCCCTTAATTACCCACATGACCTTGGGAAAGAGGGAGGGAAAAAAAAAATCACACAAGCCAAAATCCTGTGACCCCGAACGTAAATAGACTTCTTGACCAGGAACTGTCTGATGCTCAGGACATTTTTAACAGGTGCATAGTGATGCAGCCAAGAGTTAATCTACCACATGCTGAATGAAGTAAACGTGGCGGGTGCTCTTTACACACATGCTGGTTGATTGACATGCATTGAAGGGGAAAATTTAGTGTGTAGTTTGGGTTTGAAAATCTGGATATCATTTTCCACACCTGTATTGGAACTTGAACAACAACCTGGAAGAACATGAACCAGTTAATAAAATAGGTACCTATTTTGTGTGTGGTGTCTGATTACTTTTGTCACCTCTGAACATGAATAGAGTGTGCTTTGTCTGTCACTGATCCAGAAAAGGCAATCTGAGTAAATCCATACTCAGTGTCCGCACTGACGACAGTGCTTTGCGAACATGTACTGTAAATATAGGTTGGGTGTGTGGCTCTGTGTCAAAGGGCGCCGAGGCAGACTGGCCTACGTGCAGGTCTGAGGGCCACCAGAAATGCCGCATGTCCGCCGGACCGTGACGGTCGCTGTCATTAAAGCCCTTGTTGCAGCAGCGGCAGCAGAGTGCTTTGCTTGTTTTCCTGAGGGTTTCCTTTGAGTAATTGAGCAAAACATTTTGGCTAGCCAGCTAGTCCACTGCAACGCGTGTTATCCATTTCACCATCGAAAGAGCGCGTCTGTGCCATTAATCCAAGCAACAGATTCGTCAATTTATAAGTCATTCCCTCAATGTTCATGTTTCCCTATGTCTGAATTTAGGCCACATCTGTTTTTTTTCCTTTTTCCAACTTTTCTGTAGCCCCAGAGAAATTTATCTCACTTCAGACTTTGTTTTTGAATTAAAATGCACACGTTTTAACAATGACGAGAGAGAGAGAAGATGGCTTAATTCTTCATTTGAGCCATTGACTCAGTTTCTATGAAACTACCTCGATCAAATGATATGTCAGGGTATGTTTACTACTCAGGCTTTTGGCACTCAGAAGAACACGTGACGAAGATGAGAGCGACGAGAGAGGAGAGAGAGAGAAAGAGAGAGAGAGATGGCTGTTTTATTGATCTATTCGATAAAATGTATAAATAGATTTATAGCTGTGTTTTATGTGTGCCATCATTTTGATACACACAGTCTTTAATTAAATGATATAAAGCGTCACAGATAGTGTAGTGGTACACACGTCTAACTTGTGTGCGGGCAGCGTGGTATCGGTTCCCACTCAGTGACGGTGTGAATATTCATCCGTGTGTGTATGGTTGTTCGTCTCCATATGTTCCCTGCGAATGACAGGGCAGCAAGCCTTTCGTCCGAAATCAGATGGGATATGCTCCCGCGACCCTATTCTGGATAAGCGGTATCGAATAGTATAATGTCTTATTTTTAAATAAAAAAAAATGTGCCCAATTGAAAATCCATGGGTGCCGAACTGTACAGGAGCAAAATGAGCCATTATGTTCTGTGTATAGTAGGGCAGCAGCGCCACTTTGTGGCCATAAGCGACAATCACCCTCTTGACTCGACGTTGGCGAGTTGCAGAAGCCCGCTACGCTAATAGGCGTCGCTACCGAGTCGCTTGAACGAAGTCAGCCAAAGAATGTTGGCTTCCAGCTGATTCCGTCGCCATTTTTGTTGCGAACGTAAACACCAGCATTGTGACTGCTTTTGGACGGACTTCTCACGCTTACGTTGGGCGACAGCGAGGATTACTGAACATGCGAGGGAATCCCGTGGCCTGAGTGCATTGTAAGTGAGGTAAGAGGCTCCGAATGACGCGATACTTCATTTGACTATGTTAACACCAAGGCTGCCACTAGTGCACCACGATTGTATGATTTATTGCATATTTCGACTCGAGGTCATATTCCATGACGATGTCTACCTGCTAAAACGCTTTGACCGTAGCAACAGGGTTTTCTTTTTTTTTTTCAGATGGGGGTTCCGCGTGGATTCCCACACCGGGAACTAGCGAGGGTTTAAACCGAGGAGGTGAAGGCAGCAGAGGGGGGCCTCGGTGCCCGTCCGTCAGTCCACTTGACATGGACCAAGAGTACGAGAGGCGTCTTCTGAGGCAAATCAACGTCCAGAACTTGCCCGCCGAGGCCCGGCTGATCAGGGTGAGATCCGGACTTGAAAGTAACATTTCAATACGTACATCGTGATTTCAATATCAACGTACAGTAATCGTAATTATTTTTTTCCCCACGATCGCCAAATGCAGTATTGTCAAACGAATTACTCTATGACAGTGACAGCCAAAGCTGATTATTATTATGTACAGTAGTGGTGTCAAACATACGGCCAGCGGGCCGGAACCGGCCCCCAAGGAGGTTCGATCAGGCCCGCATGATAATGTAAAAGTGAAAAAATGCATTAAAGACACGGAATCAATATTTTTAATAAAATGCAATTCATGGATTATCCGATAAGGGGCACCTTGTTTTGATCAGAGTAGAAGACGACATTATTTTGATTAGAGAAGAAAACAGCAGTCTCAGTCCGTCACTGAGACAGACACAACACAGCAGACGGTATCAATGCGCCAATGCATCTTTATAGCAAAACAAAGGAAAGACATGATCTTTTGGTTTTTTTATAACAGAGTATGGTATCATGTTAATGCTCCGGCCCACTTGACATCTACCGAGTCCGTATGTGGCCCACAATGTGAAATGAGTTTGACACCCCTGAATTGTACAGTATGTGATGGCAGTGTTTTTGTTTTTTTTTTGGTTGTTTTTTGTTTTTGTTTTTTAGGCAAGTCTTGTAGAAGATTTAGGTACAGGCGGACTAAATGAAGTGTGTTTCTGGTTCGGGTTACATGTCTCCATATTTTTAAGGAAATAAAGTACTTTTTCTGTATGGCTTACCTCTCCCCAGTGTGGAAGTGTTACCTGCAGCCCCATCAGTGTGAAGTCAGGGGACCGCTTCATCCCCACCCGCGCTGGAAGCAACTGGAGCATCAACTTCCACTACGCCAATGTGAGCCTCAAAGTCACACACTGAATTGATCAGACGCTTGACTGACGTCTGTCTTCCTTCTCTGCACAGGAAAACTGTCGCTCCCCCGGCCAGAACCATAAAGCAAAAGATGCCAGTTCAGATTCAGGCAAAGGTACAGAATCCTCTTTGGTGGCTGTTAATATAATTTGTGTCTTTGGTTATGTCTCTCAAGTATGTTATATGACCGCCGACAGATACGGTGACGTATGCCGCCCTGTTGAGGAATGAGTTGCTGGGTGCGGGCATCGAGTCTGTGTCAGACTTTCACGCAGACGAAAGGAGACATGCAGTCAACTCTCACGGCACACACAGCCTCTTTCAAGTACGAGCAGTGACACTTGATATGTTGTGATCTTTTGTTTCATGAGCCACTGAAATGATTCTGTGTCTTATCTAACCACAGTACACCATCCACAGTAAGAGAGTGCCTTTTGATAGCGATAATGAAGTCTCACCCTACTCTCTTTCTCCGCTTACTAACAAGAGGTAAGCGATGTCTCCCTCGCTGAAATGACGCTTCTGTGTGCCACAAAAACCCATCATCCCCCCAACCCCCTACGCTCCTCTAGTCACAAGCTGCTCCGCTCACCTCGTAAACCGGCCCGTAAGATCTCAAAGATCCCCTTCAAGGTGCTGGACGCCCCGGAGCTGCAGGATGACTTCTACCTCAACCTGGTCGACTGGTCGGCGGGCAACTCGCTCAGTGTCGGTCTGGGAGCCTGCGTCTACTTGTGGAGTGCCTGTACCAGCCAGGTCATATCATTTGTCATCCCCAGTCGTGACTGTCCTAAATTGTGGGACATCGAGCCTCAACTCAGTCTTAGAAACAGAGCTGGTCTTCATAAATGTAGATTTACCAAATTGGAAATTTTGATCCAACGGCAGCAATATGACATTTTTACTGGTGCCCCACTTCGGCCAGCATCAGTGAACTTCAGTCCTGTTGTCGCCCCGGGCTACCGGGCCACTGTTAATGTCGGATCTTGTGCTGACTGTCTTGTATGTGATAACAGGTGACACGGTTGTGCGATCTTTCGGTGGATGGCGATTCTGTAACTTCAGTATGCTGGAACGAGAGGGTGAGCCATATGAAACCATGTCTCTATAAAGAATAACACTGCTACGTTTAGTCATTTAGGTTTAGGCCTTAAATCGGATCGCTGATGATGGTGATCAGTCAATTAGATTTCATCATTTTATTCAACACAACCATACATCATTTGATGACATATCAGCCGAGTGGTCTTAAAATGGATTTTATTCGGCATCATTCTCTTGAAGGGGAGCCTGGTTGCCGTTGGGACCCACAAAGGTTATGTACAGATCTGGGACGCAGCGGGTGGGCGAAAGCTTACCATTTTGGAGGGCCACTCAGCTCGTGTGGGTGAGTTGTGTCCCCACCGCAGGTTAGGAACCCCTTATTAACTTATTGCCCCATCACGGTTTTTGATACTCTTCGTTTTCAAGGTGCCCTAGCGTGGAATGGGGAGCAGCTGTCATCAGGAAGTCGTGACAGAGTGATTCTTCAACGGGACATCAGAACGCCGCCGTCTGCCGAGAGGAGGTTGCAGGGACACAGACAGGAAGTGTGCGGTCTCAAATGGTCCCCTGACCATCAACATCTCGCCTCCGGTGGCAATGACAACAAGGTAAACGAATCTGAATTCAGTCACTTGGAGTGTCGACTTTACCGTGGACTTTCATATCCGCGCTATCAGTTACTGGTGTGGAACAGCTCCAGCCTGCTCCCGGTGCAGCAGTACAGCAACCACCTGGCCGCAGTGAAAGCCATCGCCTGGTCCCCACACCAGCACGGGCTGCTGGCTTCCGGAGGCGGCACCGCCGACCGCTGTTTGCGCTTCTGGAACACGCTGACGGGTCAGGCGCTGCAGAGCACAGACACCGGCTCCCAGGTGTGCAACCTGGCGTGGTCCAAGCACGCCAATGAACTGGTGAGCAACATGCATGCACATTCACACCCTTAAAAAGCAGATTTTTTTTTTCTCTCCCCTGCCCCCTCAAAAATAAATCTTTGTCCACTCTTTGGTCTAAGGTGAGCACTCATGGCTACTCTCAGAACCAGATCTTAGTATGGAAGTACCCGTCGTTGACACAGGTGGCCAAGCTGACGGGACACTCGTACAGAGTACTGTACCTGGTACGTCCTCATCTTCAGTTACATTAGATGACATCATCATCTTCCCACACGATAAACAATGGGACTTTTTTTTTCTCTCTCTCTCAGGCCGTGTCCCCTGACGGCGAGGCCATCGTCACGGGTGCGGGGGATGAGACGCTTCGCTTTTGGAACATCTTCAGCAAAACGCGCTGCACCAAGGTCGCTCCTTGTCAGCTCATGTGATCAGCTTGTCACGGAATATCTAATCATATGCTATACTTGTGTGTGTGTGTGTGTGTGTGCGTGTTGTCATCAGGAGTCGAAGTCTGTGCTGAACCTTTTCACACGAATCCGATAGAGAAGCACTTCCCACAAAATGGTGGACCTGCAGCACTTTGCCACCGCAACTATTTGTTGTTCGTGTGTTTGTTTGTTTGTTTCACAACGGTGTGCACTCAAAAACGTCCCCTTCGTGCCCCCCCCACCCCATTGGTGATGTCACACACACACAAATAAAAGTTGACTTCTTAATCATGATTGTTATTGGCTTTGTTTATGATACATTTGCAGAAATATACGTGTTCAAGAACTGACATCATGTTACATTTTTAAAAGTCTTTGTAGCTGAGAGCACAAGTCTCTGTCTTTATATTTATGTCTGTGTACATTTTGAAAAGGTGTGAATAACAGTGGGTAACACACTTTCTGTTGATTTAGGTCTGTCTGCCAGCTGTTTTTAACACATTTTGGGGTACAGAATCCAAAACGGATCTCAGTTTTTCTCCCCCAGGTTTTGAGCACATAATCAGTGTAAATTTGGCAAACAGTTAAGAGTGTTCATGACCTGCCTGGTAGTCAAATGGTTAGTATGTTGGCGTTGCGCTGCAGAGGTGTGGGCATTGAATCCGGCTCTGGCCTTCCTATGCATTCTCCAAAATGTGTGTGGCTGTGCATTTTCTGATCTTCTCCGCACTATTCGTGCTCACACTCACATCTATGGACAATGTAAAGTGTTTGTTCATCACCTGACTGGGAGTAGAATGGTTAGTATGTTGCACTGCGGAGGTGTAGGGTTCGATTCCAGCTTCATCCTTCCTGTGTGTTGTCAAAAACATTCATGGCTATCTATTTTCTACTCTTCCCCGCACAACTATTCGCGCTCACACCGAGGGACAATACAGAGCATTCGTTCCCTGCCTGGTCGTCGAATGGTTAATTCCTTGGTCCTGCGCTGCAGAGGTGCAAGGTTCGATTCCAGCCTTCTGGTGTGTTCTTAAAAGTGTGCGTGGCCGTCAATTTTCTGATCCTCTTCTCCGCACAACTGTTCGCGCTCACACTCACACCAAGGAACAATTCACAAAACCCCTTACTATACATGGTCGTTTTTTAGGGCTAAAAATCCCTTACTATACATGGTTGTTTTTTTCGGCCCAAAACGGCTTACTGTACACGGTTTTTTGTTTTGGCCCAAAACGCTTTACTATACATGGTCGTTTTTTT